GTTTCACCATGTTGACCAGGATGGTCTCGATCTCTTGACCTTGTGATCCACCCGCCTCGGCCTCCCAAAGTGCTGGGATTACAGGCTTGAGCCACCGCGCCCGGCCTTTTTTCCTTTTAATTGTAGCAAATACAATATAAAATTTGCCATTCTAACCATTTTTAAGTGTAAGTTCAGTGGCATTACGTACATTCACACTGTTTTGCAACAACCATCACCACCATCTAGCTCTGGAATTTCTTCATCTTCCCAGACTGAAACCCTGTACCCATGAAGCATTAACTCCCCAGTCCCCGGCAGCTCCCTTTCCCTCCCCAGCTCCTGGCAACCACCATTCTCTTTTCTGTCTCTGTGAATTTGACTGTTCTGTGTACCTCATAGAAGTAGAATAATAGAATATTTGTCCTTTTGTGTCTGCCTTGTTTATTTAGCATAATGTCTTCAGGCGCATTCATCTTGTAGCATGTATCAGAATTTCCTTCCCTTCTTTTTTAGGCTGAATAATATTCCATTGTGTGTATATAGCACGTTTTGTTTATTTGTTTATCTGTGGATGGACATCTGGGCTGTTTCCAGTTTTGGCTGTTGTGAATAATGCTGTTATGAATATTAGTGTAAAAATATCTGTTTGCGTTCAGGCCACATTGTTGAAATGCAGTTTAATACAGGAAAGTATATTAGCCATGATCATAATTTGTATTAATATAATTATTGGCAGTTGTTTGTATAATCTTACTACATATAGATTTTTTTTTTTTTTTGAGATGGAGTTTCGCTCTTGTTGCTCAAACTGGAGTGCAATGGTGCGATCTCGGGTCACTGCAACCTCTGCCTCCTGGGTTCAAGTGATTCTCCTGCCTCAGCCTCCCGAGTAGCTGGGATTATAGGCACACGCCACCATGCCCGGCTAATTTTTTTGTATTTTTAGTAGAAATTGGATTTCGCCATGTTAGCCAGGCTGGTCTCGAACGTCTGATCTCAGGTGATATGTCTGCCTTGGCCTCCCAAAGTGCTACTACAGGTGTGAGCCACCGCACCCAGCTTTTGAGTAGATTTTTTTAAAGCTTATTAGTAGTTTTCATTGAGAAGTTTTTTAAATTTCTGTAAATTCATCTTTTAGTTTTTTCTAAAGGTATCTTTGCACGCCCTCTTGGTTTTTTACTATGACAAGCCATATATGTAGGGGTTTAGAGGCATTAAAACCCACTGAGAGCTTCAAGTTGGTTTGTTGGTGTAACGTTACCTTGAGATGAATTATTTTATTGTATCATACATGTAAGTTTCTTAAAAAGTTCTGAATTCTTTGACAGGTAAGAGATGCTGCAATATCGGCTATAGTGGAGATTTATAGACATGTGGGAGAAAAAGTGAGGATGGATCTTTATAAGAGAGGAATTCCCCCTGCTAGGTAAGTCTTGCTAAATTTGT